AACTTGACCTTGGAGGAAAGAACTTCCTCCTTGTCTTCAATCAGTCATCAGCCACTGAATGTACTCCTCTACAGTCAACTTCCAGCCATTCACAGTTTGGGGAGCTTGTCCACATCATGGACCTTAGGCAAGTCCTCAGTTCCCAAGATAGTGATGAAGGCTATGCTCTCACCTGAATGTGGAAATTAGCTATGATTTTCTATTACCTGTACCAAACATTCCTTTTCATTTGTTTAATTCCCTGAGAGTTGACACTACACATTAATTCATTGAGCAATTGCTTTGTGTAAAGGCCCAGAGATGAATGAGACAGTTATGACCATCAAGGAACTTACAATTTAGTCAAGGACACAGAAAACTAACTCTGGTAGAAGGCAGAATGAAATAAAGACCATAATAGAGGTATGAGCAAATTGCTGTGGGAGCATAGTAGCACAATTTATTATTTAATGGGGGAAGGAAAATTAAGTAAGGCTACAAACGGCAGTGTTGGTCCTTGAAGGATTAATAGGAGGAAAAAAAGTGAGGTTGGGCTGTGAGGCCATATCAGTCCAGTGAACTGCATGTGTGTATCATGGCATGAAGGTATGTGGACATTCAAGGAAGTAATCATATGTTTATCATTGCTATGCACCCATGATAAACCCAGTGCAGCATGGCTGGACCGATGGAGTAAGAGAGGCTTGAAAGTTATGTTTGAATCTGCTCCTGAGACATTTGATGGCCACAGTAGTTTTGTTAAGGGAAACAACGATTTTTGAAAAGGGCAGAGAAAGACAGCTTGAGGTGAAGTCTGTAACAATGTGAAGGATGGGTTGAAGAGGTAAGACTAAAACAGGGAGACTAACTTCCTTCAGTAGTTTCCAGACTTGGAAATTAGTAAAGGGCTACTATTAATGATAAGACAAATAATATGGATAGAAAAAAAGTAAGTTTGCTGGAAAGAACCTATTTGATTGGTAAGATATGGAGTTGTTATGGTTTAGATATGAGGTGTGTACCAAAAGCTCATGTGTGAGACAACACAAAAAAATTCTGAGGTGAGATAATCAGATAATGATAGCCTTAACATAATCACTGGATTGATGCACTGATATAGGTTAACTGGATGGTAACTGTACACAGGTAGGGAGTGACTAGAAGGGTGCGTCATTGGGAGCATGCCTTTGGGGCTTACATTTTATCCCTGGTGAGTGGAGCTCTCTCTGCTTCCTTATTGCCATGTCCTGAGCAGCGCTCCTCTACCATGCCCTTCCACCATGATGTGCTGCCTCACCTTGGTCCTAGAGTTATGGAAGAGACTACTTATGAACTGAGACCTCTGAAACCATGGGCCAAAATAAAGGTTCCCTCCTTTACATTGTTCTTCTCTCTTTTGTTGGTCACAGTGACAAAAAAGCTGACAGAAAACAGGAATATTTAGTGTGCTCACTATTGTTTTCAGTGGGAAGGTGGTTCTGGGGTAATGGAGGGAACTGAGAGTTATCTGCATGAAAGAAATTGTCAAAGCCATGAATGGAACTAAGATGACCATGAGTGGGACAAATACAAATATAAATATAAATATAAATACAAATACAATTAGGGATAATCCTTATATTACGGGTCATGTGAAGACAACCACTAAGAAAGGTGACTGTATAGTTTCCTGAGAGGTAGGGAATTGAGGGCTTAATGAACTTGGTAGATGATATGGGGAAGAGTAATCAGGATAATTCATGAGATTTGGCATTTAGGTGGCTATTGGTGGCCTTGAAGGAGAGATTCACAGGAAGGTTGTTATTTGATAGGATAGTGGAAACTTGAGGAAGTTTGTTGACTGAGAGGAAATGAGACAATGGAATAATGGACCTGAAAAGTCGAAGTCCTTTTCAGAAATACAGAGTATACAATATAAGGTCACACAGTAAGTCCGCTTTTTATCACAGATGCTCTGGAGTCAAAAACTCATGGACATCTGTAAGGTGCTCTCATTTTTATCATTTTACTGAATTCTGCTAGGAGAACTTGGTACATGACTCCTTTAATTTCCCTTCTCTTACTCCCTCCAAGTGCCACTACAAGTGCTATCAGTTTGGTCAGCCAGGTAAAATACTTCATTACTTGATTTTTGTCAAAAGTCTAGACCACTGTGTTCTTATATGCTATAGGTTTTCAAAGTGTTTTAAATTTATTTCTTATGCTACTTGGGGTTTTGTAGGAAAATAACACAAGATATTGGGGGGGTGAGGAAAGTAGAACAGATTGAGAAACAGGTTCCATTCCAGAACAAAATATTACCTAAAATCAAGCTATTCATTGTCACATGATCCAACATTTGATGGGAAGAGAAGCCTTACGGTTTTTTGAGTAGAAAGGTATTTAGCCTAAAAATACTTGGGCATAGTTTAGAAATCTGAGAGATTTCCAGGAAAATGGAAAAATGGGAGAATTTGCTGTTCTTTTAGAGTAATAATTATTCAAGGACCTCTTAAATGTACAGCTTAAAATATTAACCAGACACTTAAGAAGACCTAGCTATCAACTAATTAAAGCTTTTCCTATGAATTATACTTCATCACCTAAATGCCTTTCTTTCCTGTCAGTATGAGACCAAAACTGAGTCGGGGCATTTTAATGTCCACTCAGTCTTTGTCAGAGTTTTTCTTTCTTTGAACAGCCATTCTTCCTCCCCTGCCTTGGCTTTCAGCATTATTAAAAACAAAGGGGAAAAAAAAGAGAAGGACAGAGAACGAAAGCAACCTAGAGAACTTACCCTTATTCTCATTACCATAATCACTATAATAATACTGAATAAATTCTTGAGCAGAAATCATGTTCTCTTGTCTGCTCTATGTCTCCATGATTTGCTGCTACTTGTACATAAGACTTGTATGAGCCATTCAAACTGTATAGATAATAGGATCATGCCAAGTGTCAGAATTGCAGCTGTGCATATCTATGGCACCTTGGAAAGGATAAGGTAGTCTTGTATTCAATTGTTCTATTAAGGTAGCTCATCAGTCATTCCAGTCTGAAACCTTGTTGTCAGATTTTACTCCTCCTTTCTCCCAGGCCCTCAACATCCAATTGGTTGCCAGTTCTTTAGATTTCACCAGGATCTGTCCCTTTGATGCTACCATAATGTAAACCTTCTTTCTCAAAAGTATTATTGCACTGCTTTTCCCCCCAAATTGGCCTTCTGTGTCCTCTTCTTTCTCTATATGTCCTACACAGGGCCTTCTTAAGTCCTTCATATAATTTCTTTGCACAAAATCCTTTATTTTCCCTGTTATAGAATCAAGTGCTAATCATGCAACCACCACTGCTTTTCATGGATCTTACACTTTTTTATTATTTTTTATTTGTTCTATTTAGTTGTACATGACAGCAGAATGTATTTTAACTCATCATACACAAATGGAGTACAACATTTAATTCTCTGGTTGTACATGATGTGGAAATGCACCATTTGTTCAATCATACATGAACCTAGGAGGGATCTTACACTTTAGTTAAACCAAATTGTTCAACTTTCCCTGTATATGCACCAAGAAGTTCCATGTTTATACCTCTCTTTATGGCTTCCCTCCTAAGAAACATTGAAGTTCCATGAGGACAGGGACCACATCTATCAGGTTCAGTGCTATATTCTCACAGTGTAGCACTGTATGTGGCACAAGTAGGCACATAATAAATATGGACTGGCTGAATACAATTATCAAATATCCAAATCTACTTACCTTTTCAATTTCCGTTCTTATGCCATTCCATCCAAAAAGTCAACATTGATACTTGTGTCCCACTCTACCTCTTGAAACTAACGGTGATTTTTTTTTTTTTTTTTTTTTAGAAATACCACAGGCCTCCGAAAACAGTAGTTTCCACTGAATAGACACTTAGTGATTAGAATAGTCACACTGGGAGATGAGAGTGGGAGAGGCTTTAGTAAGGCAGAGAAGTTGAAGGTTTCATGTTATTTATTATTATTATAATTAATGATAGTTCATAAACATTAAAAGGTAAAAATATTGGCTGGACCTCAATTTGCCAAGATACAGATGAAAATATTACCCAAGCCTGTATTAGCCAAGATATAGTATCATCATGGCTAAAGTTCAAACTCTGGTTAATTTCTAAGAAGTAGGAACAAAGCTATGATTTGCATAATTTGTGTATTTGCAAGTTGTTTCCTCTGCAATGTTCACTCACTGTAATAATGTTTTATTTGTGGCTATTGGAACTCTAGACATCTAAGGAAATTCAGTCTCTAAATGAGGTCTTTGGCTATAGCTTTCTTTTTATTATAATCAAAACTATATAGCATGTTATATGCATTGCATATATATCAATTTTCATATTTCCATTTTCCCCTTGAACTCTTGGTATCAAGCTCCAACTCCCCTAGTTATGGGTATATCATGGTTTTCATACTCTCTATTAAAAAATTGCCTGTTTGGGTTTCAGTGAGGAGAAAAATCTGATGTATTTGATTGCTGGAGCAAATCATTCCAAGGGAAACAATGGGTTGCCAGGTTTTGGATCATGTCATTTACAGACCTGGTTATTACACCCTTCTTCTTCAAGCTAGCCCACCCATGATGAAAGATTCTTTTCAAAGTCCTCCAGAGAATAATAACCCATAATCCTCAATTAATTTCTCCAGATATTTACCCCTCTGAGTATTTGAAGCCCATTTGCTTTAGTGCCATACTTGACAAAAAAAAATCTATAGAAACAGCTTCTCTGGAGCATGTAAATCACCCTTCTGACTTTTCTAGATTTTTTGGTTGTACAAACACCTCTAAAGAATACTAAAAGGAAACCTTATGATCCCTGCAAGTGTATGTGAGTCTTTGAATATGATCCTGTGATCTCCACCATTCAGGCACTTATAAAAACAACTCTTGGACTTCTGTTCAGTCATAGATTCTCACAGAATGTTATTACATCTTTCTTGACACTCCAGAGCTCATGTCTTTTCATTCAGCCTTAATTAAATTATCATAGGCAACACAACATTTAATGTTTATCTTAACTTTATTGAATAAGTAAAGTAGGCATTACATAAAGATTGCAAGTCATTCATGGCCCTGCATAGATACAGACATTTATTCTGAGGCAAAATGAGAGCACAAATGCACAGTTTACTGCTACTGAAATGGTTCTTCATGGTGGCTTGGTATGGACACAATCTCCCTCAATACTCATTTAATGTTGTCTTTGCTTTCACCTCTCCCATCAGCTGAGGGATTCACAATATCTAAAATAAGCGTGTAAGGAACTCTTCTGTATCAGAGGTAGTTTTGTGTCTGCATTATGAATCATAGAAGACATTTGGTCAAAGACTTCTTAAAAAAGGGGCAGAAGAGATACACTCAAGCGCAGAGTTGAGATCCATTTTTTTCAAGCTAATTGGCCATATTAGCTAAAGTATCAACCAAAGTTTAGAATAACCACTTTGTCCACTTAACAAAGCATGCAGTAGCCTGTACAGATAATAGCTTTTAGAGAAAACCTTAAATTTGTCTCAAGCACCAAAGATATATTTTTAAAAGTGTAAGTGACTAATGTAGTGGCTGAATGGTGCCCCCTCCAAAAAAGGAGGATATGTTCACATCCTAATCCCTATAATCTGTGAATTAGCTTGTTTGGAAAATGTAATTAAATTTGGATGATATGATTAAATTAAGGATTTAGAGATAAGATTATCATGGGTAATCTGAATGGCCCCAAATTCCATTATAAATGTCCTAATACAAGAGAGGCAGAGGTAGATTAGATGCACTAAAGGGAAGATGATGTGGAGAAAGAGCAGAAAGAGATGCAGCCAAGGAATGATAACAGACACAAAAAATGAGAAGATGCAAGGAACATATTTCTCCCACAGTGAACATAACTCAATTTTGGACATTGGCCTCTAAAACAGGAAGAGAATACTATTTTAAACCACTATGTTTGGGGTAATTTGTTATAGCAGCCACAAAAATCTAATACAGGTATCAGTACAGGCAAATGGGCTATTGCTGTAACAAATATCTTAAAATGTGAAAGTGGCCTTGAAATTGAATAATGGGCATAGACTGGAAGAATTTTGATGCATGTGATAGAAAAAGCATAGACTGGACCATTGATGGAAATATGAGTGTTAAAAGGCATTTTTGGTGAGGGCCTGCAATGAAATGAAGATCATTTTATTGGATATTGTAAGCAAGGCAATGCTCGTTCTATATTGGCAAAAAGCCTATATGAATTGCCACCTAAAGTTGTGTGGCAAGGGGAACATGTGACAAACTAGGATATTTGGTTGAGGAGAGTTGTAATTGAAGCATTAGAGGTATGGCATAGTTTCTTCTCTGCCTAGAGTAAAATAGGGAAGAAAAATGGAGGAAAGACTGTTAAGTGGGAAAAGAACCAGTACTTGATGAGTTAAGAGATTCCAAGCCTATTCAGAATGTAAAAGAGGCTAAAGTTAGGAGATTCAATATTAGGAAAGTGTACTCTGAAGATAGGGCCAAGGCTAAGGATGTGGCTGGATATTCTTTGCCTAGTGCTAAAGAGATCAGGCATTGAGTCATGGATTTACTCAACCATCTCAGCAGAAACCAGGAATAGAGAGAAAGTTATCCAGGAAAGATATGTAATAGGGCCCTCTTTTCTAATTGTGTGAATCAACATGATATATGGGAGCTCTACCAAGTTTTTGAGAATGCTATATCAGCAGAAACGTCTTTGCTTGGCCTGCAAGGGGCAGAGACAGGACAAAATTAGAGAAGGCTGTCAGACTAACAATATTCTACAGGCAGAAAAACAGGAAAATATAAACTATTCAGCTACAAACATGTGCCAATTTTCAAGATAAAAGGAGGATGGCACCAAGGGAAAAGCTGCAAGTGCAAAGTTGGAGGGCCAAGAATGAGGGGAGAGTCAGAATTGTGACCCATGGGCACAGAGGCAGAGGCCCAGTTCATGGTCCAAGAGGGGAGAACTTCAGACCCAAAGGGTGGGGCACTGAGACAGAGAGGACTGTTGCTAGGCCTTGAATCCTAAAGGGAATTTAGTTAGTTTTTGAAAATGATTAAGACAGGTGACTGACTCCCTTTTCCATTATCTCCTTCTGGAATAGGAACATTTGTAATTATTTAGAGTTGAAACTGTAATCAGCTGAGACTTAGGAATGTTGGAATAGGGTGAATATATTTTACACATGAGAAAGACATCAATTTTGGGTGGGGGACAGAGGGCAGAACCTCTAGATGTTCCCTTATTTGGAAAAGGGGTTTTAGAGATGTAATTAACTTAAAGTTCTTGAGATGAAGAGATTATCCTGGCAGAGGGAGATTAGGTACACAGACAAAAGGTGCTGCAAAGATGAGTGGAAATGTGGCCATGAGCCAAGGAACGTCAATAGCCATCAGAAGCTGGAAGAGACAAGAAAGGATTCTCTAGAACCTCTGGAGGGAGCATGACCCTGTGAACCCCTAGATTTCAGAACAATGAGAGAATCAATTTCTGTTGTTTTAAGCCACCAAATTTGTGGTCATTTATTATAGTAGCCAAAGGAAACAAATATAATTAGTTAACATTTTATGTGTTTTCTATTTTTTTAAGATTCTGAAAAAAATCTGTATAATTGGTGCTTCTCCTGTGTGGTAGTAAGAAACAAAAGATTTTAGTATAATTTGGTTTTATACTAAAATGTCACTATGTACTTTTCAATCTAAATAAAAAATGCAAGTGGCTAAAACAGGACCATTATAAACCTGATAAGTAAATCTTTTAACTTAATTATTGGACCCTGAAAGGTTTTTTTTAATGTTTGTGAAAGCATGTGGATTGCTGTAAATACAAATATATAACTTATCAAGAATAGCACTTCATTCATTCTTGTTCACAAACTAGAAAATAAGGCAAGTTTGCATCTGGAAAAGGCAATACACATCACTATTTCTACCTTGACAAATTTGATAATATGGCATGGCAAATGTCTCCAAAATTTAGTCAAGGTTGACACTTCAAAATAATTTTTTCTATAGTCAAAAGACTCAAAGAAGTGATACCATGAAGATTTCAGAAAAAAATCTTTGCAAAGTCAAAAATGCACACATTAGTTATTTACCTAAATTAGTAGGACCTAAACTTTTGCTGTTGTTAAAAATAGTGTGTGAAAACAGATGTGTCCTCAAACATGTTTATGTGTGCACATGTGTGTTTTCAGTCAGGAAAACGTGGAAAAAATCTCAGATGTTGTGACTTTGATTTCTCTATTATAGCAGCTTTCAGAGAATTTTGAAGTATAATACTCAAGCCAGAATGCACTGGAGGACAAGGCAACCATGTAAATTATTATACATCTATATAAAGAATTCTGTGAGCTACTGGTCACTTATCTCAGATGGTGACTTGCCAAGCCAGTCATTTGTTCTTTCTCTATCATGTGCAGTGGAGGAATAGAAATAGGACTTTCTACATAAGAAATATACATATAATAACTCTTTTACAGTAATCACAATCATCTGCATGAATTGGTCTTCAAATTGCACTCCAGAGAAGTTACACCAATTATTTCAATGCATATCATAAAATAACAGATAAGTTAAGTATAACTTTAACTTTCATCTATTTGAGAAAAACATAGACCTTGTTTTTTTCCCCAGAGTTGTTGTGGCAGCAACGTTTAAATTTGTTAATATAAGGTAAGTATGATGATGACTGAGAAGTTCACTTAGTTACTGGGATGTGCAATTACTGCAGCAAGAGATACAAATATATACACACATGTATATACATATACATATATAGAATTTCTTTTTTTCTTCTTCAGACCACCAAAACAGAATTGGAAAGGGGAGTAGAAAGGAAGATAGAACAGTTGACCTTTCACACAGTTTTCTGCTGCCTTTTATAGAAAGAAATCTCTTTCCTCCCAGGTCTTCTAGAACTCCATTCCCTGCCTTCAAGGGGGTCAAGGGAGAAAGAAGCAATAGAGAGAAGAAATAAACCACAAATAAGAATCAATATTTGCCTTTAAAATCTAAATAAAGATAATAGAACTTTCAGGTACATCCCTAGCACAAACATTAAAATGTGGAGTTTTTCTCAAAAAATAGTCATATAAAGTATTTGTATAAAGTAGACATCTATGCATATTAGAAAATACCTCTTTAAATAAAGTTGAAGTCATTTTCCCTAACTGATTCTGTTAAACTTTGGTTTATTTTTAGCAATGATGTGTGCTTGCAATATCATGCTGAAACGCTAGACTAATGATAAATTTAATTTCAGCCAAAGCAGATGAATCCATCAGCTTTCACTTGAGATAAGATTCTAAATAACTTGACTGACATGGAGCTATACTTTTTTGAGTTTTCAAAATGGCTTCTCTTACACTGTGTGCAATATTAGCACCTTTCCAAATCATTAGCATGCACATTTTGTCTTGGCCTTTTCCTTTGCTATCTATTAAATTGGAAGCAGACAGTGAATAGATCTGTCTATTCTTTTTTTCTTCTTCTTTTTCTTTTAGTGGGAGTGACCTAGAAATTTAGGATTTTAAATATTTGAAAGTCTCAAAACTCTTCAATTTTTTACAATTCCCTCTTCAGAGTCAGGTCACACAACAACAAAGAACAGACATTTTTACGCTAAAGTGGAACAAATATTTCTAGTCCTGTGAGCTGTCACATAGGTATTGTGGGAGGAGTCTAGTGATAGTTCTACAAATGCACATCAATTCATCCAGTTTAGCTTGACCTTTGCAGAAATACACTTATATCCACTCTGACCCTTGAATGCATGTTTTGTTCTTCTGAAAACATATGATTTTGTTTACTTAAATATTTTTCATATTCTTTGGCATCAGGAATCACTTAGATGAGATAGCTCCATTGTGGCGAGAGCGTGACCTTTCCAAAGGTACCCGTCTGTTATCTGTAAGACAAAGAGAAAAAGAACCAAAAACATGGTGAGCCTTAGATCTTGGCTATTACATGATACCGGGTTGAGAGAGGTTTTCAAACAGTACTGAAAAATCACTTCAAACGAATATGTAAATAGGCAACAAGGAGCCCAGATCTGAGGAGTTCATGCTGCAGCTGCCAGGCTGAGTTCAAGAGTTCTACAATCAGCAATAAATGACTTTTCTTGGTAAGCAAAGTCAGAGTGATAAAAGAAATGGAAGAATTCTCTCAAGCACAGTCCCCTTGGAAATAGCAGGCGACAACAAAATTCCTTGGTAAAAATGTTAAATTGAAAGGATCTATGTACAGTGCCTTTTGTTGGAAAGCACTTCAATTCCCTATGAGTTTTCAATTTGTATGTTGGCTACCTCTAGAGGACACCAGCGTGGGCAGAGCAGAAAAGAGTTTTTATTTTTCACAGTGATTGCAATATGTGGCAATCAAACCGGCTACCGAGTTGGCCTGATTGTATGATGTAAACAAATTCAATACATTATATAGTCATTATGGGAATGAATAATGAATGGGACCTAGAATAGATCCCATTCCTCTTACCCATCACAGGAAGAATAATCACTGTAAAGATGACTGTTGGCACAAAGCTTGGAAAGCAAAGTTTAAAAGCATTGAAAGTTGCTGAAAATAGTTTTCATTTTAATAGAAAAAAAGGTTTACAGCTCTGCTTTGTGATGATCACTGCTATGTTATTATCACCTCTGTTTTATGCTCAGCTTAAATGCAATTGATGTGGGTGAAAATCCCTTTTTGACAAAAGCATAATATACTTAGATTCTCCATTTAGAATGAGACTGGGTCCCTAGAAATAATGACAAGCACCAACACTTACATAAATGCTAACACTTTCCACTCGTTAATTTGCTAATTCACACAACATCCCCGGGAGGTAAGCCCATTTCATTCTATCCTATTATCTCTGCTTTAGTGATGGAGGTTACACAGCAAATCAATGGTGTGATGGGGGATTATAATGCAAAGTTAATACCTAAATGTCAGGTCAGCTTTGTCCAGAAGTACATGTTGGGGCCTCCCAAGCTGCTACTCATTTCTTCCCTGAGATGGTGATACCCAACCAATATATCCTGCCTGTTACATGGGAAGGAAGGACTGAAAAGTGCTGAGGGTTGGCCATAGTGCCTTTCTCATCTGTGCTAGCACCTCTTGACTGATTCCTGGAGTTTTTGATCAATACCCAGAGTAAACCTAACTGGCCCCCATGATCCTCACCTCATTAATGCTCCTTGTGAATACATTGAGCCAACTATCCATAAGCTTAAAGCCCACCCAGAGCTTCATAATGCAACTATATCTCAGAGAGGTGAGAAAACAAAAGTCATTTTCTCCACTCAGAGATATATCTGAATGATGGATTATTGGGATATCCTTTTGATGATATCATTGAAAAAAATCTATTATTTAGTTTGTGATATGTTTCACAATTCAGCTAAAAATGTGAAGATACCATTCCTGGATAAAGGATTTATTACTTAGAAGTCACTGGTTTGCATACACATTGGTTTGGGGCTTCTTAGAAAATACTTCAAAATGAGATAACAATACAATGGTTCCCATTGCATCGCTAACATTTAAGAGTTCAGTGTTAAAGCCATCAGATCTAGCATGCTTACAGTTTTGTGCCAGCTTGAGAAAAGGCTTGTGCCTTGGTGCCATAAATATCCATTCCATTGCTTACCACTCAATGGATCCAACATGAGTACCACCTCTAAAAACTTAGCCCCACAGCATTATATGATAGGATGTGAGAATTCACATCAACTTGCAAATTATCAGTAGCATTTGGTGTGAGAAAATGAACTTTGGAGTGAAAGCACACTGAAGAAAGGACACTGAAGCTTTTGGAAGACAGGCTAAACTTTGGTTCAGGACCCCAATCCAGTGTTATGGTTGGATATGTGGTGTCCCCAAAAGCTCATGTGTGAGACAATGCAAGTTTTAGAGGAGAAATGATTGAGTCCTAACCTAATCTATACATTAAGCCCCTGATGGGATTTACTGAGTGGAAACTGAAGGCAGGTAGGGTATAGCTAGAGGAGGTGGGTCCCTGGGGCATGGCCTTTGGGGTATACATTTGGTATCTGGTGAGTGGAGCCTTTCTCTGCTTTCTGAACATCATATGAGCTGCTTTCCTCTGTCATACCCTTCTGCCATGTTGTTCTGCCTCACTTTGAGCCCTGAGGAACAGAGCCAGCTATCTGTGGACTGAGACCTCTAAAACCACCAGTCCCCAGATAAACTTTTCCTCCTCTACTATTGTTCTAGGCACGTCTTTCAGTCACACCAAAAAGATCACTGAAACATCCAGATTTTGGTACACATGAAAAATTATTTTAGATTTTCTCCCCCTTCATTTTGGGTACCTAATAGGTCCCTATGTTAATGAGATAATTATATGAAGAAGCAATTCTGTAAAGGTCACCACTTACATTTTCAAAATGTTAACCTACAACCTTTTTCTATGGGGGAAACAATGTCAGAAATTGCTATCTAGATCTTTTGATGTGTTTCCAATTCTGTGTTTATGTTAAAATTAATTTAGTTGCAAAATATATATTTATACTTTAGACTTGTATAAAATCAAGACATGTAGAATTTAGAGGCTATCATAAAGTGTACACATGCTTTGTTGCTTTTAGATATACATAAACTTTCTTTTCCCCTATCTGTCCACGTTCTAATGGTAACTAGCAATCTAACGATGATAACTTTTCATGCTTGGAGTCGTCTTGAATGAGAGACTGAAATATCACTGAATGAACTGTTTGAAATATGACTTTTACATTTATGGTATTAAATACTAAGGGCCCTCATAAGTAGTCATCATAATAATGAGAACATATGTTAGATATTATTGTTGTCAGAGGTGACAAACAATGATTGTGAGAGTGATAGCATTTCTCTTTTGGAAACAGGTGTAGGAGGTAGCTGCCCATGTGATATAATTTGAGAGCTCCATAAACTCCAGTATAAGCCAAATTCACTTTTCTAACTAGTCTTCATCTTATAACACTATTGATGCTACTGTACTTTCGATGACAAAAATAGAGGCCTTTCATCCCAAAAGTGAGTGGGTTAAAACACATGTATTTACCTGAAATGATACTGGGTGGGGAGTTGTTAACAAGTAGTGGCATCTCCTCCCAATCTGCCTCTTATAATTTTGGAAATCAAAGGGAAAGAGATGGGAGTGCATGGAACTTGTTTGTATGTACTTGTTGGGGACACTGCAATGAGATAGAGGAAAACTCCACCATAGTTTGGTAAGAACACCCTAACAGATTCTCTTTGGTCATCAAAGACTTGTCTCTGAAATGCCCCAGGTGAAGGTGAACAGATTCTGATACTGTGGAGATTGATCTGATCAAAGAATGAAGTTGAAAAGAAGGATATAGGTATATGAAAATGTGCATCCTATGGAGCAAAGATGGCCAAAACCAATATTCAAATCTTTCATCCAAAGGGAATATAAAATACATGGCTCATCTTAACTATGGTTCAGCACCTTATGAATATCAGGTTAACCAGCACAAAGTGATGCCAAGGCTTTCCCTGCTGTCATAAGAGAAGAAGCTTTATGCTTTATGACTTTCCTGAGCATAAATTGATTTGGCATTCATCTCAAAAATCTTCCCAACTGAGTTTTCAAGTGAATGGATTAATCCCATTATTGTATTGCTCTAGAATTCACTCATGCAATCATTTATTCAGCAACTATGTACAAAGCACATCATCCATGAAATAACTGAATGTCACTAAGTTTTAGATCCATCCCTAAATCTATATCATTAATTTCCTTCTTCCTAAAACTTTGTCAAGTGAACTGAGGAATAAGCACAGCCCAGATAAGGCCTGCACATTACATAACATGAGATAGTCTAGAAGACTCAAACCTACAGTATGTAACCTGGGAGTGTGTCACTAATCCTATAACAAAAGGAGTGTATGCCAAAGTACAAGGCTGTGTCTTTGCACACTGCATGAGATCAAGTTGGAACTGAAAAATTCCAATAAAAAAGGACCACATTCATTATTCATTCCCCTCAAAGTTAGGTGTCTGTCTCTTGTTGTCTAAGGAGAGACCGTTTCCCTTCTGCTTCAAAAACAGTTGTATCAATGTTGCCCTAATCAAACATATTAATCCCTCACAGTAGGATAACATTAAACCAAGTGTATGCCCAGTACATACCTCACTATTTCAAAATATCCCATCTTAATGCAAATTAGTTGTCTAGAAAACAAAGTAAAAGAAACCTTCAGTGTAGGCACTGTTTCCAGCAAACATAGCAAATGAAGGTCTGGGTCTATGCAGCTTAGGCTAAGGAAACCAAGGAAAGTTATTGCTTCCAGAAATGTTCACTAAAGTAGCTATTTGTATCCCAAAACAGTAGTGAGAGAAAAATAACTTATTTTAGACAGTTATATTGAAATCATCGTGTGAACTTACATTCGCCCTCCCTGTGTTCAAAACTGTTTATGGTTTTCTCTGTGATTTTAGGGATCCTAAATTGGATTAAAGTTTCTCACCTCACTAGAAATGAGTGGCCTATGGTAACCAAATTAGGCTTGGGCCTAATCTCTTGATAGAGGACCTTTCTCTATCAGTTGACCAGATTCTTTCTCCTCACTGTTACCAGAATACAGTCTTTAAAAAAGCTTGAACTCAAACTATTTATACAAATTGGCATTCTACTTTTTCATTAAATATTTTAGCACAGAAATTTTATATGTCATTAAACTTCTAGATTATTATATTACAAATATGATCTCTTTTTTAAAGAGAGAGAGATAATTTTTTAATATTTACTTTTTAGTTTTCGGTGGATACAACATCTTTATTTTATTTTTATGTGGTGCTGAGGATCAAACCCAGCGCCCCAGGCACGCCAGGCGAGTGCGTTACCGCTTGAGCCACATCCCCAGCCCACAAATATGATC